CACACACACACACACACACACACAGTCTTGTGTACGCATATATTTCACTTCACTTAATTCATTTGACTTGTTGACCCCTTGTCATAGGAAAGTATGTACAAATGATAATGGCCTCATTTCCATGTAATCAACTCATATTTCAAGTTTCTTATCTACCCAGACTTCTCCTCCTGGGAGTTTTATAAATACTTCAGCAGTTATTAATGAGTCCTAAGTGGGTTTTTTCTCTTCTCAGTCCTTCCTCCTAGTGGTCAGGTCAATGCTCTGCCCCATCCCCCTGATCCCACAGCTGGACAGGGCTGATGGGAACATTTTTCCTGAAGGCTTTGCGTTCCAGACAGGATTAAACATTTTCTCACCTTAGCCTTTACAGTATTTTGTCTTTGTTTGATCCAGTTCCCATCAGAGCAAACAGTAATAGGCTTTGATGAGTAATCACGTTATTTTGCCGTATCAGATATCAGACATGGTTGGCTCGACTACGAAAACTTTATCACATGTGAAGGGTCAGACCCTGTTAACGTTTGCCTGATATGAATGGCGGGATAATCTAAGTGGACTGATCTGGGTGAGAGGTTAGATGTGCATCAGCAGCTCTCTCAAACTGTGGGCTGTGTTACACACTGGCAACAGTTCCTGGGTAGTTTTATTAGAAGTGGTGATGTTTACAAAATAAAATCTTGTAAAACGGAGGGTCCATTAAGTCAGACACAACATTTTCTCATTATCGGAGGAGGGGGACTCCATTCTGTGAGGCAAGCTGGATGTTTTTCATTGTGTGGATGAATGAAACCAGAGATGTCAGGATGAGATGGAGCGCAGAGATTGCTAACGGTGGAGTTCGGAGTAAGGAACAGAGAATGTTCTTGATCTACTGAGCTATTTGAACACTAATTAGACAAAATTGTTTCCCAATGTTGTCAGTCGGACTGAATCAGGATGCTGGATTTGGTCCTGTCCCAATGTGCCTGCGCCCATGATTGCTCGTGTCCACTGAATTTACATGCATAATATACAGATGTGCATACCTTTGTGCTTTGTGTTGTGTTAGTGTTGAGTGAAACTCATGAAGTTGTTTTTTTCCACAACCAGATTTGTGCACAACACAAACAACAAAAGTCTGAACACATGGAGTACACACATTGATTGGGATGCAGTGAGACAAGCAGCTTTTCTTCACTGTTTGTTATTTTCTGCTTTCAAAGGAACCGGCTCCAGTCTTTTGTTTGGCTCATGGCTGCAGCTCGGACAGATGGTGTGTTTGTCTTCAGATGTGTGTATCTGCACAGATCAATATTTGCATTCTTATACGAATGTGTCATATGTGTGTGAGCAGCAGAGAGAGTAGGGCAGTGTGTGAGAAACCATGTGTACATATACTGCATGCATGGCTGAACTTGGCAGTTGTTTGGCTTTTCAATGTTATCGGATGACCCAAGTGTGAGTGAGTGGGGTGGTGATGGCCCTTCTAACTTTTTCTTCTGGGTACTCCAGCTTCCTCCCACAGTCCAAAGACATGCTGATTGGGGTTAGGCTACTTGGAGACTAAATTAGTAGGTGTGAATGTATGAGTGAATGGTTGTTTGTGCCTGTGTGTCAGCCTTGTGTACTCTGTCTAGGGTGTAACCCCGGCCTCTCGCCTCAATGTCAGCTTGGATTTGCTCCATCTCCCCCATGACCCTCAAAAGGATAAGCTGTATTGATACCTGTTTGAGGGATCTGTGTACTGGTGTGTATGACAGTACGTTTTTTTGTATCAGAGCTCAGATTAAACACATTTGATGTGTTGGCCTCTACTACATGGTGAGTTTAAAAAGTGTATGATGGACATACAAGGAGAGAATAGAAGACAGACAGGAAGACCCAAAGTGAGCAAAGAGAAATGAAGACAGATGGATGAGCGGGTGGAACTGCTGTGAGCTCCAACCTGCACTCTGCATGCTCAGTTTGACCTCCTTTACTTTTCCTCTCTCTCTCTCTCTGTATCTTTCTGCATCTCCCACTCTTTTCCCCATCCTCTATGATCTCCTTTCATGTAACACGAGGAACCAATAAGGGCAATAAGTCTGGAGAAGGACTACCACCAGACACCACCGTTGTTTTCTATCTTTCCATCCCACTCTGTCCTTCAGAGCTGAACAGGTTGCTTTACTTTCTCTACAGCTCACTGTCACTGCCTTGGTCAGTCAACCATGCACTTCATCTTTCATCTCCGCTGACACAACAATCCACTTTTTTTAATGAAGGTTTCATTAAGTTTGGCGCCACTGCAGAGAACTTAATAAGGGTTTCTCCCACAGCCATCATTAGGCTCTATGTGATTGAACGGACGAACATCGTATTGCTGAAATGATTTCAGCATGAGGTCATTGTGTCTGATTTGTGAAGTGCATTTAACGAGATTATGCCACAGTTTCACTGGCAAACGGGGGGGCAGCGAGGAGGCCAGGTGATTGTTGAGGCCAGGAACATTCTGTTCTTATTTGGTTCTAGCATAAAACTGTTTGCTTGCAACATCTGTTTGAATGAGTGAAAGTATTTACGTTCGCTCATCCTTTCTCTGGAGGTGCAACGGGATCTCTCTGATTTTTGTAAGAAATTTGTGTATCTCATAAAATGATAATAATCAGTAGGACTTGTGCTGTGCTCGTTCTGAATATGCATGTTTGGGATGGGCAGTTTGCTTGGCCTGTGGTTGCATCTTTCTTTCCCAAACTACCTGCAGTAATTAAGCCGCCTCAGTCCAGAGAACCCTAAAGCTGCTGCACAAAGAGCTGTTCACCTGTTTCTCCAAAGATCAGTGATGCTTGACTCAGAGTGCAGAGCCACTAACTAGATAATCAGTTGTTCTTGCTTTTGTTGTGAACGCACTGTTCTCATGATCATGAACGCCATGTCAGTGAGTCCCAGCCACCGTTGCCTCATAGCGCTGGTTACCTGTTTATTCCTATTTGATTAAAATTGCATTTCCAAATTGACCAAATTCATTGGGCCCTTAACGGTACACACGTAAATTGTGGAGATGGATGGTTCTCGAGATATACAGACGGACAGTCAGAGATTTCTGAAATTAGAAACGAGAAATATTGTGTTAAGAAGTTTTGTTGTTGACCTGTGTGTTTTTGCAAAGTTACACAAAATGTAGTTGCCCCAAAATGAATAACAGATGCACTCATGTCTAGAGTGAATGATTGTCATGAGGTGACTGTTACTGATGATCACGCTGCCATTAGGCTACTGATACTGTCATATTGATGGAAACAGAAACCTCCACTGTTCAGTGCACCATCAACTCCTAGTTAAAGCCGTGGAATGTGCTTCAGTGTTTCAGTCCAACGGGCTGACTTATTATCACAGAGATTTAATACATAGCAGTCATTCCAATCCTATTGCAAAATCCCTGCTGAAAGAACCAGCGTGGATGTGCTGTGCGGTTTAATCTGAGTAGGTTTAATAGGATAATGTCTGCCCTCTCGTGCTCTGACACGATCCCTTGTGTTGCTACCAACTCTCATATTGTTCCTCTTAAGTCCTGGTAAAAACCTGCTACTTATAAATGCTCGTCTTAGAAAGCCAATTGTGGCGCTAAAGACTAAACACTTGAAGCAATTAAACTGTGAGAATGTGTTTAAAGGTCCAGTGAGTAATTTCTCTGAAATCATCCTGTAATGTGGAGCCAATTTTTTTTTATCGCTTTGTCATTTAGTTAAATATCACTGAAAATATGGCTTGTGACCAAAGAGGCAATTTCTTATCCATGCACATTCTCTGGTTTCATTTAGTGCTGCACCAGATGTGTTCTAGGAAATGAATCATCGTTTCATCATTTAATGCCTCACATGGTAAAACAGTCATTAGCTAACAAAGGATACGTGCCTCTCTCCTACCACAGACTACCGGACCGGGCCATGTTTCACCCAGGTGAACAACCAGATGTGCCAGGGCCAGCTCAGTGGAATCGTCTGCACTAAAACTCTCTGCTGCGCCACCATTGGCCGAGCGTGGGGCCACCCCTGCGAGCAGTGCCCCGCCCAGCCACACCCCTGCAGACGAGGCTTCATCCCCAACATCCGCACCGGAGCCTGTCAAGGTCAAAACTCTCTCTCTTTTTCTCTTTCTTATACACACACCTGAACAGTGATGAAGGGGGACACTGATTATAACACAAAAATTCAAAAACACTGGCGAGCGCTTGTACACACCCACATACAACACTGTAACCATTCATTTATCCATCATCATCTCAGCGGCAGGTCCTACCCATAACATCCTCGAACTCGTGTTAACATCGTGCAGGGTGTTTACATGTAGCAAGAGGCCGGATACTAACTTATTATTTCCTGTTAATGTCTTCTGCAGGGGAAGCTACATGTGTCTCTATCTGCTGACAAAACAGTAAATAGATTCATGTGTCAGTGTCAGTTACTGTATCTGTGACATCTGTAGAGATTAGTTTATCCTCGTACTGTGTAATGCAGACATGTAGCTAACATATTAGATTCTGTTAGTGATTATGGTTGGATATCGTTTGGATTCTTTTCAATACCGTTTCAAAATCGATACTTTTGAAACAGTATCGGTGCGTAAATGATGCCAGAATTGATACTTTTTTCTTAAAACAAACAACACAAAACAGTTGTCCATGATGAGAATTTTTTGTTTTCGTTTCTAAGGCAAATTGGAAATTTAAATTTAACATATTAACTGTTAACAGCTATTAAAATCACATAGCAAATAAAACCTGACCTAACAACAATCATTTAACAGTAAATAACAGTGTCAGTGCTTAATACAGCAAAACTACTCCGAACTCGTCATCAGTTGTCCCCCCCCCCCCTCCGGGGCCAGGGACGCCTACACTCCTGGCTGATGTACTCGATAGATACATGACGTGCTGCCAGAGCCATGCAGAGAGTGAATTTGCACGAGAGTTAGGTATTTTGTTAACAAGACACATGCGGTGATGTTTATGTTGCCTGTAAGCAGTGAAAAGTATTTAAGTTCATAGCTCAGGCACTGAAATAAGGCATTAAAATCTGTGCTGTGATTTGGTCTAGTAGTGTTGGAGCCAGTGTCTGTTTAGCACCGGATGTCGATACCCAACCATTCTAATAATATGTGACTTACAAACAGAATATGGACTGATTCATACATACAGATTTGTTTTCCTTTCTTTCCCAGGATTTCCTGTTGTTTTAAGGGCACTCTGACACCTTAAAACTTTACTAGTTTGTAGCCGGACTGATATTTAGACAGTAAAAACATGTGCGTCATGCTCTCTGCAGCTCTGCAGTAACATCATCAAATTTACTTATTTCAGTGATCTTGGTTTTGGCTTGAAGACTTCAAACAAAAAAACTGCATTAAGATGTGGGGATGTGGTGTATAAAAAAAATTGGGCGTTTACATAGAGCAGATGGTCGAATTAAAGATTGCGTTATCTAATTGAGTTACAGTGAATCCAGTGTTTATTGCCTCACTCAAATGAGGATATCTCTATCTCAGAATTAAACTAAGCGTTTCTTTTTTTTAAATAGTCTGTTCCAAGTGCTCTAACTTTCTGAAAATGTAATTCTAACTTGCTGGAGCACCCCTTGTTAGCATCTGCAGTATATTAGACACACAATCGACTCATACTGCTCATAATTACTGAACAGATACACTACAGACATAACATAAGCAGCTCAGAGAGAACAAGGTAAATATGAACTGAGATTCACCTTTTTTCATTAACGTTCCTGCTGCTTGTGTGTCAGACTCTCTCCACATACCTTTCTAATAACCCTGGGCTCTGACCAGACTAAGCAATAAGACTACATCAATATACAGTATGACACATGTGGAGCGTCATGTCCAACTGAGTCCAGCCAGACTCTATGTCGCGCCGTCCCAGCTCCTCTGAGTTGGACACACCCAGCAGCATCCACGGCAGAGTGTGAGGGTATGAAGTATTTATATTGTAGCAGATGGCCACCCTTCAACTGTGTCAGAGCTAAGGACTATAAATGGATGTATTTTGTTCTTCGGTATTATAGCAAACTCAAGTGTCATTTACATATACACAAATAATAATCATACATTTCAGAGTACATTTTATTTCAAAAAATGTGTTAAAGCAAATCAAATGGATGTAGCACATTTTCCCATAGTGCAAAAAGTAAATACATGTAGGATCTGTAGCTGGTTTGTATTCAGGTCCACTACGTCCTTTTCTCTTGGATGTGGCTATTACCCATCTGCTCATATGTTAGAAGTATGCCAGTGTGAGACCAGACATCACTCATCTCTCTGTTACTCACATTCCTCCTCTCTGACTCTCTCACTGTCTTCCTGTGTTTTCTTCTCTCTATGAATCCCTGTCTTTTCTCCCTTCTCTCCAATTCCCTGATCTCGCTCTCTCTCTCTCCCCTCTCTCTCTCACACACACACACAC